TAAACCTCCGCCATCCCTCTTCGACCTCTCTTTCTTCCAAACCTCTTTACTTTTCTCGTTCTAGACGCGTACCGCGCGTCGCTCTCCGCTCTACCGTCCTGTCTCCGGCCCCGTCGCTCTCCCTCCGCGACGGCCGATCCTTCGGCTTTCAACTCGCGCGAACGTGTAGGATCGTGGAACGTGAACTTCGCGGGCGAAGGTGGAAAGACTGGTGAGAGGTTATAAAGTGGGGTTAGACTCCGGGTTTGAAGGATCGTGTTTGTCAGCCACCTTCGACGACAGAGATTTGTCAAGGTAAAAAAGGCTGCCACGGCGTTGACCTTCCGCCATGCGTGCATCTTCTCTCCCTCATGATTTCCACCCTCGCCATTTCTTTATTCTTGTCGTACATTCACTGTCTTGCTTGACATATTTTTTTCTGACGTTCGGTGGTTTGAAATTAAAAGGAATCAGATTTGTACGATTCTTATTTCAAACTGTTTTATAATAATTTATAATAAGAGTATTAAATATTTTCTACGCCTGTTATATTTATTTTATTTTGTTTATTCATTTATGCTTAACGCGATATCACAGCTGAGTGTTGAGTTCTTTTCAATAAATCTGACGGGTAACAGCCGTAAAATGGAGTCACCGGTTCACGTTTAGACCTCTTAAAATGATTTACGTCGGACTAATGCCGTTTATACTACTGGCGATACAAACGGTCCGCGTTTCGGACCACGTAACTAGGACAGCTGTTCTGCTTTATGACTCGCCACGTAGCGTCGCGTTGCTACCATCATCGGACACACCTGTGATGGTCTCCATTTAACAGGCTCGCAATTAACACTCTTAACGTACTTTCCTCGACATTTTTTCGCCTTGTGTCGTAGATTTAAAACAGTAGAAACAGTATTCTCAAATAACAAGTGCCTATATCTTGCAAAACGATATTGATAAATAAAATTATATATTAGTAAGACAAGTTCCCCATTCTTTTCTCGTTGTGTTGTAGATTTGAAACAATAGAACATTATTTTCAAATAACAAGTAAATTTTGCAAAACGATGTTTGTAAATGAAATTATGTATTAATAAAACAAGATCTCTCGAAAGGAAATAAGTTTTGTCTATGTGGATAAGGCTAAGATATTAATAAACTGCAGATGGTTACTATGTAAATTTTTATTTGCATATTTAAATATTCTTATGTAAATTCTGTTTTCCATTTTGCATACTGTAGTACACATTCTACATTTTCTTTCACGAGGTAATGAAACGAGTAATTTGTTCTTGAATTCCGAGCAACGACGAACGTGGAATTCTTTTGCTCAAATCCTATTGAGCGCAATCCGAAGACATTGTTTCCTCTGGCATTCGCAGGAGATTAAAAGGCAACACTTCCGGCACATATCCGACCTCGTTACCCTCGTAGGAACAATTTCTTCATGCCCGATTGCGATCGTTCGCACATTCCGCGCAAAGGTAAAAGCGGAGAAAAGAACAGGCGGTAGTTGGTTTTTCCGCTCGCGAAAGGTCAGAACGGCAGGGAAGGAAGACAATCAATCTTGGTCTCAATTATCGCGTCGTTCAGCGACTGTAATTGAGTCGGCCTCTGCCCGAGCCCTTTCTTCTTTCGCCTCGGCTCTGCCGGGAACACCGGGAAGTCGAAACAACGGAGGAAGGTGAAAGTTCCCTGGCCCACGCTCCTCAGCCGGTGTGGAAACATTTCTCGCTCTCGTGATACACCTGCCCGCCTTGCGCCAATGATTTATCAAACGAACAACCGGAGCCAACGGTTAAAGGGTATTTTGTCGACACCCTTCGATTCAGTCCGCTCGTTTCCTTTTCCATTTCCTCCAATTTCGCTCTTAGCCTTTGTTTTCGTAACTAGCTTCTCGCCCCCCGTGGAAATAACAAGCTCCGCCTTAGCATACCTACATGGTTGGGTCGTTCGTTTGTCAATTTTTAATTGTTTAAAATTTATATTGCTTAAAACAAGTTATGACTTCACGAAATTTGTGTCGACAATTGGAAGATGATTAATCAGCAACAAATTATAGAGCAATGATTGTTTTTGTAAATTAAAAAATTCTATTTAGAGATTTTTAATTTTATACTCTTATGATAGATAATGATGTAAAATTATGTTATGGATGTTTAAAATATGAAGTATGTTAAAGGGCTGATGCATCAAGATCATACTGTTTAAAATTCGTTTACTTGAAGAAGCATACATAATTGAGATATTTTAGCTATTAAGAAAGTTAGGGTTTTATTTTATGATCTATTATTAATAATATATATACGTATATATTATACTTAGTAATCATGAATGAGTACTTAAGAAAGATGAATAATTGTACGGGATATTACATCGTTAGGTGTAAATGGCATTTATAGCGTCGTTCTTCTTGTCTCTTCTTCCAAATATCATTAAAGTTTCATTTAAATTAAGAGGGAAGAAACATTCCGCATGGCTCCCCAGAGAATGTTGCTTCTTATCAGTAGACTCTCTAAATCAACTTTAATACTAGCTTGCCCGTTAGCCCCAGTTTGAAATATAGTATGCTGCTTTGAATTCCACTGAAACTAGCACTATTTACATTGCTTTCATAATGCGTACGTCTGTTTATTATTAATTTAACATTTGTCGCCCTCACAGAAATATCTACAGACTGCTTGAACAGAGAAATCAATGATTACATCATTAGCTAGTAGGTTCTTCAGTTCAGAAATTAATTACGTTAATTTCAGATCAATAAATATTATAATTAACTACATAAAAGCGTAGGTTTATGTTATTTACAATATTATTGTGGGTAATATTTGCTTGTATCCATAAGTACTATGCATGACGAGGATGCATCCATATTATTTCAAACACACGTTTGAAATGTGCTAATAACGCGCAACCTAGAAACTAGCAAATGCGAATCCTCTTTGGTCGTGATCTACTTACAAACCAACTTGCCCTATCTCTCTATTGCAATCGTGAAGCTGGTAAAACGTTGTTAATAGCAAACCTGGTGTTCGTACAGTTGTACCAATGAGTTTCCGTTTCGCCGTTTATGAAAAAACTCGTGACTCGTTCACGTTTCGCCACGATACTTTTCTCGTGCGGTCACGTTCCGCATTATTTAACGTTCTTTCTACCCACACTGCGCTGAAGTTCCAACAGTAGTCATTTATCCCAGTTGAATCTCTTCAACTCACTGTATGTGAGAATTCTAAATCATACATCTTCGAACCTTTAAATATCAATTAAATGTTTGTATGGATTTTAAGTTGGTGATGAATTATAAATTGTGATAGAAAGATATTTACATAAATTTATTGGTAAAAATAAATAACCCAACGAAAGAGAAAAGAGAGACGATAGAAGAACTGTGGCCACAAGTAATAATTTGTAAAATAGAAAATGATAGAAGACGGAGAAGTGTTGCACTGTAGGTCGGAAGTTTCTCGGTGGCAGGTACACGTTATTCGCCACAACTCTCGAATGTACTTAATTAGGCGATATTTGAGAAGGCATCTCTCGAGCGGCGGGCTGCCGGGACCATCTTCCGTCGGTTTCACGCTCGCAAACTGCTATTATGGAAAGCCACTGGATTTCCGTAAGAAAGTACGGCTGCCTGCCGGCTGCCTTGCCGGCTGCTGCTATCCCATCCTCGCTATCCTTACACGTCTTACCTGAACTAATATTGTTAGGGTCTAATTAGTACCATCGTGACATCGCCTGACCTTGTTCCTCGTCTCACGTCTATCACCATCCCCCCTTCCGATCTTTGCCCCTTGTTCGTTCTGAATTTCTCTTATCCTGGTAACTGTACACGTGTGTCTCCACAATT